TTATCTTTGAGTATAGCTAGTAATCATCAGTGTGCTTTTCTCAGGTTCTGATAATGGTAATAACATCTGTGTTGCTACTACTTCAAAGGATCAATCGCTCAGGCTTTGGCAGGTAATTTAGACAGTGCTGCTCTGTGTTTTTAAATTTTTTTTTTTTAAATTATTAATTTTATTTATCTGTAAACTAAGAATTCGTAGAAACTTAGAAAGAAAAAGATTTCTTGTTAATTATTTTATCTCTTTTCCTAAAAAGTTTGATGCAGAAAATGCCTCAAATAATCCTGCAACCATTACTGCATCTAAAGTTTTACGAGGGCATAGTGCAGCTGTTGAATGTGTCTCATCGCAGCAATCTGGAAATATGGTATTTCTGTCTTTGTTGTACACAAACTAGTGACAGGTGTATGAATGGCATTGATGCTTATTTTTGCTTTGTGCTGCAAACTTAGGTGTGTTCTGGTTCCTGGGACTCTACAATTAATCTGTGGCAGGCAAATCTCTCTGATGCTGATGGTGATCTTGCTTCTATAAAAAAAAGGAAAAAGAGCGGTGTTGTAAACGAGTCATTATCAGAGGTAAACAATGTTTTCCGTGTATCATACAGTTGTGACTTCGTATAGAATGTTTTGGCGATGGATTTTTAATTTTCATCTCATTGGGTGTTTTCTTTCTTCATCATGATGCACTGGTTAATTATCACTGCTTTAAGGATTGGGAATTTGTTGTTTTATTATAGGGTTTTGTTGCAAACTCATTGGATTCTTTGAATCATATTGTTCCTTTTGACTTCCCTTTGAAGAACTTGAAATCATTGTAAGCGGGCTAAAAGGCTAGATTTTGAGAGGGAAGTACCTTGAAATTTTGCTCCACATCAATCTAGAGTTCAATGGGTTAATTGGCAACCTCAACATGTAGCTATTATTTATTCTTTATTTCATCATATGGAAACTATTGGCCCAATGCGTCGACTTTATACATTCCTAAAAATAGTGTTAATCTCATTCATTGATGACTTTCCATCTAAATTTTGGAATATGGGTTAGGGCAATGATCCAAGACTCATAGACTGCTTTAGGACTTTAGGCAGGTTATAATGCTACGTGATCCGATTCTATATCGCGTACGAAATCGGATGCTCAGCATAGTACCTTGGTGAATTGGGTATGGAATATATCAAAGTATGTGCTTGGGCCCTATTAAAGCTCACTAAATGCTCTATTCCTTCTCTTTATGTTTTACTACTAACTAAATACTCTGCTTCTTCGCCTTATTTTATTCCTAATTGAACTCTTACACCCATATAGGTTCTCTCTCTCTCCGCTGACAATTTTGCAACTGGTAGTATACGCTTGTATCCTTGTGTTCAATGTTTGAATTATGATGTTAAATATTTCAGTAGGTGTTTTTGATTTTAGCATCAGGCTCTCCATAAGTCCATATTACTTAAGATCTCGTGAATCCTCCACATCACTGTAAACACTAAGTGTGCGGCATCTAGTGTTCGTCTCATCGTCTATGGCTTGCTAAAACCCTTATAAATTTTTACTAGAACACAACTTTATAATTTCTAGAAGCATGTGAGGGGTTGGCTGTATCACCATTTAAATGTTTATCTATAATTTTTAAAATATTTTTTTTATACCATTTATTTTCCTTGCCAAAAAGTTGGGGTTGGATGGTGCAGGGGTATGTTCTTAATGTTTAGCTCAAGTCTTCCTTTGGGGTAAAATTTCATTTTTCTTCAGCTTCTGCTAATACTCTCTCTTCTGTTACTAGAGACTTTTGTCAATTACTTGAAATTTAATCTAAAGACAATTTTTAGACCTTGTATTAACCATTGAGATTTTTTTGTGCTTGAGTATCGTAAAATCACTAGTGGCTGAAGCTCTGATTGTTGATTTGTATATGATGGATAATTGTAGTATGCATAAGTTTGTATCAAGACAAATTTCAATTTCGACATGGCTGAAAAAAAAAAAGGAAAAATTGATTCTAATAATCCCACCTTTGGCCGGTTCGCTGCTAATAATCCCACCTTTGGCCGGTTCGCTGCTAATAATCCCACCTTTTGATTATTATCTAATAATCCCACTTTTAGGGGGCATTCTCTTCTAATGGTCCCTAACCTGTTGGTAACCGGTATAATGGGTTAACATGCCACGTGTCACTTTGTGATTCGTCGAAATATTTTTTTATAAATTTTTTCCCTTTCCTTCTTCCTTATCGTTTTTAAAAAAAAAAAAAATTACAAAATGAATTTTTTTCTTACCTTCTGGTTGCAAAAAAAAAAAAAAAAAAAAAAAAAAAAAAACACTTACCCAAACAACAAGTTACCGGTCATAAGGGACCATTAGAAGTGAATACCCCCTAAAGGTGGGATTATTAGATATTAATCAAAAGGTGAGATTATTAGCAGAGAACCGATTAAAGGTGGGATTATTAGAATCAATTTTTCCAAAAAATAAAAATCTGACGTCTATTGAGAAAGAGGCATACCTTGTTATGTTACTAGTTCATCGGTTTTTGTGCATTGATGTTACCAACAAAAGAATATTTGCCTGTAAAATAGCAAAACTGCACATTTTCATAGTTTATATTGATTTCAGGGTGAAGCTGTAACTACACTGGTAGGACACACTAATTGTGTATCTTCTGTTCTTTGGGCACATGATGAAACTATCTATTCTGCATCCTGGGACCATTCCATCCGAATTTGGGATGTTGAAACAGGGAACGCAACATGGAGCATGGTGTGTCACTATTCTCTCTATTACTCTAAATACTTTAGTTTTCTGCACTATATGTTTCGTTTTCTGAACCTATCTGTTAATAGCTTTTAAATTAACTCTCTCCATTACAGTTCTCAGGCAAGGTTCTTAATTGTATTGATGTTGGAGGAGAGAGCTCTGGTTTAGTATCAGCTGGTGGTTCTGATGGCACATTAAGGATATGGGATCCTCGCAGACGAGGTTTAGTGCTTGATCAATTATTTGTTCACGAATCATACTATGTATGTGTCCATATCTGTCTTTTCTCCTCTTTCTCTGGTTTCAGCTTGAGATCTATTTTTGCAGGGACATTAGCTCCTGTGTACCAGTTTTCATCGCATACTAATTGGATTTCTTCTTGCAAATGGCACAAAAAATCTTGGTTTCATTTGGTTTCCGCATCATATGATGGGAAAGTAATGCTATGGGATCTGAGGACAGCGGTATTTCTCCTTATTCTTCTATCATGCATCACACATGTTTCTATTTTATTTCCTCTGATATGTTCTTGCTAAGTAACATGTTTTGTCATGCAGTGGCCTCTGTCCGTGATTGACTCACACAATGATAAGGTATTAAGACCTCATACTTTATTACAGCAATCTTTACTTTTTATCATTTTAAGTTTGCTGAAATATGCTTGGTCTTCTAATTCAGGTATTGTCCGTTGATTGGTGGAAAGGCAATAGCGTTGTCAGTGGGGGAGCAGATTCAAAGATGTGTATCTCTTCCGAAATTCCAGTTATGTAGATGATATATACAAGTTCCCTCTGGTAATTGATCGTAACAGTCGTCAATGTAGTTACGGTCAATGCAAGGAACTTTTCACATAACACCAAGAATTCATTTTATTTGATACTATTTTGTTCAAGACTTAACTTTGGGTGCAAATTACATCCACTGTTCATGCAGTATGATTAAGGCACTATTTTGATACTGTTTTGGGTGCATTTCATTCTATCAATAATTATCCCAATACTTCGTGAATATTGTAGAGTCAGTTTAATTAGAGTGCTCCAAAACCCAAATATTTGCCCCACATTCACTCCCGTCCAAACACACTAATCCCTTCAAAAATACCTAATACTTTCTTTTTTAAAATTGGGAAATTGTTCTGTGTACCCCTAAGGTTTTAAAAAATGCACCGTGTTTCCTAAAAACTTTCAAATGCACCGTGTACTCCTAAGGTTTGTAAAAAAAATGCACCAAATACCTTAATCATCTAACAAATGAACATATCATTGACTTATCAAACTTTTTTTTTCTTTTTTTTTTGACGGGATACTTATCCAACTAAAATCATGCCCGCGCACTAACTCTTTCTTAGTACTTTATATTTATGCAGTAAAACCGCTTTAAAGCATAAATTACATCAAAATTTGAACTCTATCGATCATTCTAAATCCTAAACTTTTGGGTGTTAGAATTTGATTTATAGTAGGAAAAATAAGTGTGTTTGGTAAGGTAGGGATTTATGCAGCGGTTAGTGGTAGGGGTAGCGTTTAGGTAGCTTTTGTCAAACGTTAATAATATTAGCGTTTGAAAGGTAGCGGATAGCTTTTGACAAATTTTGTTTACCTTATACATATTATAAATGCATTTTTACTGTATTTTAACTGCTAGTTTTACCAAATACTTATACTATTAACCGTTACTAATCTATTAACCTATACTAAATGCAAATCCTTTCATGACAATTGTCATTACCTTGTAAGAAAATTTCCCGCCCTTTTTTTTTTTCTCCAAATCTATAAGTAAACTATTTATATCTTATGATATTTTCTTTCCATTTTGATAAACATATTCCATATATACCCAAATGAAATATTTCTGAATATCTTTTATATACATTATATTTTGTAATATTATTGTCAAAAATATATAACATTCGTGCATTGCACGGGATTTTAACATAATTAACAGCTAAACCTCTACCCACTACTAATTGACAGCTGCTCGCTACTCGACCGTTAAAAGCTACCCGCCACCACTAGTTTTGCCAAATAGGACCTTAGTTATTTAATTTATTTAATTTAATTTCAACCGTTTTTTTAAAAGAAACTTACAAACAATTGATACAAGCTTTGATGTGTGAAAATAGTATTTGCGAAATGGAAAGATAGAGAAAAACTAACATCCAATGTTTTTTAAAACAAATATGCTTTAAATCCTTATAAAGCCCGCCTAGTCCCATAATTGAATGATCATTTATTTATTAGACGGTCCATTGATTACGATGGGCCGGTGGCGGGTCATAGCTTTTGATAGGGCTCAAGGCCTCCAACCCAACCTCTCTCTCAGCTATCTATTTAAGCGCACTCAACGTTCTCCATTGAAGCGCAGTTCACGTTCTAATACTTGTATACCCCATTGAAGCATCTTCTGATGTAAGTTGTTTGTTTTTGTTATCATCATATTAATTTCACAATCTAGGGTTTAAATTGTCAGTGCATTAAGGGTAGGGTTCGAAAATCTGAACTGTTTCTTCTAAATTCTAAGATTATGAAACATGATAACCAAAAGAAAAGAAAATTATGTGCCAAATTTGATTATTGAATCAATCCCTAAAATTATGTATTTTTCGAAATAAATGAATCAAATTTGGTTGCTAATGTATTGCACAACCCTTAAATGTTAGGATTGAACTATGAATTTAGACCTGTTTGATATAACCCTTTAGGGTTCGCCTGGATATGGTGACAAATTACCAGGAAACTGATAATAAAATCACTCGTAATTCAATTTGCTCAAAAATAAGAAATAATATATTTTGGGTCCTGTTTGTACTTTGTGTCCTGACCTTGCTAAGGGGGCAGGCCTGTTTGTACTTTATACGCACGCCCTTGTGCTTCAATAACCATCCCCAACAAAGTCATTAATTAAAATTAAATTTTGGACTTAAAAAGATACGCCCAAAAGATGTAAAAATGCTATTTTTATTGGTGTGAGCTTGTGATATTATTGATTGACCTTTTGTTTTGCAGGCTTTTGGAAATTGAAATGGCAACAAGGTATCTAAGTTTTGGGTTTTCTTGGTTATTAGCTCCGGATTGAACTGATATCTAATTCTGTTTTTGTGATGTCAGAATGCTAAGGAAGTTGACAATATCACTTGGTTGTCATCGTTTGATTACACCAATGTCAGGAGTAGCAAGAACCAAACATTTTTTATCTCAACATCAGCAACTAGCCAATCTGAGCATCTTGTCATCATCATCATCACTAGAGGTGGTGGATGGTAACAACTGTCTGCCAAATCCGAGAATTCCATGGTTAAAACTCACTCCCGAACTAGATGAGAAGACCGGGTGTGTTGTGGACTCGTTCTATAGCCCTGTAGTGAATCAAGTGGTGAGGCTAAATCGAAGGGAGTGTCTTGGTGTTCCCGACACAGCTAAGTGCCTTGCATCCATAGGGGAATGGTTGGCCTTTGAGGATCCCCAGGACAATTGTCACCCCATCTATCAACCAATCCCTATTTCAGTGATAAGGATATGAATGGCCTTTGATTCTTCTAAGATTTATTGGGAAGGAAACATTTGGCATAACGATCGCGGCATCTTCAATTTGGACAATAACACAATTGAGCCTATTTCATGTTCGTATACTCCAACATACCCTCTGGATGAAGATTTAAGGGAAAGAAATCCCAACTGGAAAAGGGATCAAGTGTTTTTTTGGGTTTCCCCATCCAAAATTCATCTTTAATCAGCAAAAATCAACATAGTCAGTTTAAATAATTTTATTTTGGTGAAAAGGACTCAAGTTTCTTGTATGTTTACTCAAAACATTTCTTGGTTATTCATATTTTCTTTGTTTCCTTTTGTATTCTAGAAATAAAAAATAAATTTCTTTCATTCTCTACTCTTGATTGTACGTTGTAACCTTAACTAGTGCTGCTGTTTGCCAAATTAATGGTGGATGATACCTAGATTATTTTATTATCTTGGTAGGACAATAACTAATTGTGTTGAATACCTATATCAAATTAGTACCTTGATTATTAACCTTTGATATCAAGTTTCAAGTAAAGCTAACTTTTTGGTGCCCTTTTACTAGATTTCATATATGCTGTTTAATTTTGGTGGCATCTTGGCTATAGTTAGAGAGAATGTATCATATAGACAGTCCAAAACAAAGAAAAGGTTGCCTTTTTTTTTTTTTTTTTCCTTTCTCTTGTCATGCTAGCTATGCTTGTGTTTTAAACTGCTTAAGACCAGTTACACTCTGCGATAATTTTTCAGTTTTCACTGTGTCGTTTCGTAATCTAACAAAAAGTATTGTATGAGTGCCTTGATTTTTATAAATTCCTGATTTTTTGTTCATTTATTTATTTTTTTCTGAGGCAGGCTGATGTTACAATGGTCTTGGAAGGTACTATTGTTGGAAGCAGCTGTTGATTTAATTTCTAATTTTTTTCCCATGCATTTTTTTTTATTTAAAATTGATTGTGATGTTTTTGTTTTTTCAGGATATGGATGGGTGCTGACTGCTGAGACATGTACTCATAAGTTACAAGGACATACTGGTGCCCTAACTTCTCTTTGTATTATCAATGGAAAGGGTAAGTGACTGTTTTCCTTTTACTCATTAACCTTTGGTACATGGTGTGATTAATCTGGTTATCATTGTTTTTTTTTTTTTTTTGGTTCATATGACTGTTAAAGTAATTCTTTAGAGAAAGGTTTATGTCATAATACTAGATCAATATGTGCTTTTGGGGCTGTATAAAAAACAACTTACTGGTCGATGAATTTCTATGTATGTAGTCTCGTTATCTTTGAGTCATCTAGTAATCATCAGTGTGCTTTTCTCAGGTTCTAATAATGGTAATAACATCCGTGTGGCTACTGCTTTGAAGGATCGATTGCTCAGGCTTTGGCAGGTAATTTAGACTGTGCTGCTCTATGTTTTTTTTTAAAAATTTTTTTTATTGTATTTGTAAACTAAAAATTCGTAGAAACTTAGAAGGAAAAAGAATTCTTGTTAATTATTTTTCTCTTTTCCTAAAAAGTTTGATGCAGAAAATGCCACAAATAATCCTGTAACCATTACTGCATCTAAAGTTTTACGAGAGCATAGTGCAGCTGTTGAATGTGTCTCATCGCAGCAATCTGGAAATATTGGTATTTCTGTCTTTGATGTACACAAACTAGTGACATCGATGCTTATTTTTGCTTTGTGCTGCAAACTTAGGTGTGTTCTGGTTCCTGGGACTCTACAATTAATCTGTGGCAGGCAAATCTCTCTGAGGCTGATGGTGATCTTGCTTCTTTTAGAAAGAGGAAAAAGAGCGGTGTTGTAAATGAGTCATTATCAGAGGTAAACAATGTTTTTAGTGTATCACAGTTGTGACTTTGTATAGAATGTTTTGGCAATGGATTTTTAATTTTCATCTTATTGGGTATTTTCTTTCTTCTTCATGATGCATCGGTTAATTATCACTGCTTTAAGGATTAGGAATTTGTTGTTTTATTATATAATGGGTTTTGTTGCAGAAACTCATTGGATTATTTGAATCATAGTGTTTCTTTTGACTTCCCTTTGAAGAACTTGAAATAATTGTAAGCGGGCTAAAAGACTAGATTTTGAGAGGATATTACCTTGTCATTTCGCTCCACATCAATCTTGAGTTCAATGGGTTAATTGGTGACCTCAACATGTAGCTATTATTTATTCTTTATTTCATCATATGGAAACTACTTGCCCCATGCGTCGACTTTATACATTCCTAAAAATAGTGTTAATCTCATTCATTGATAACTTGTAACCTAAATTTTAGAACATGGGTTAGGCAATGATCCAATATTTAGATACTACTTTAGGACTTTAGGCAGGTTATAATGCTATGTGATCCGATCCTATATTGATTACGAAATTGGATGCTCTGAATAGCACCTTGGTGAATTGGGTATGAAATATATCAAAGTATGTGCCTTTTCGGGCCCTATTAAAGCTCACTGAATGCTCTTTTCCTTCTCTTTATGATTTACTACTAACTAAATGCTCTGCTCCTTCGCCTTATTTTATTCCCAATTGAACTCTTACACCCATATAGTTTCGCTCTTTCTCTGCTGACTATTTTGCAACTGGTAGTATATGCTTGTATCCTTGTGTTCAATGTTTGAATTATGATGTTAAATATTTCAGTAGGTGCTTATGATTTTAGCATCGGGCTCTCTATAAGTCCATATTACTTGAGGTCTTTGAATCCTCCATGTCATTGGAAACACTAAGCTTGCGGCATCTAGTGTTCGTCTCATCGTCGATGGCTTGTTAAATCCCTTATTAAATTATACTAGAACACAACTTTAAATATTGTAGAACGATGTATGGGGTTGGCTTAATCACCATTTAAAGGTTTATTTATAAATTTTAAAATATATATTCTTTTTTATACCATTTATTGATTTTCCTTGCCAAAAAGTTGGGGTTAGATGGTGCAGGGGAATGTTCTTAATGTTTAGCTCAAGTCTCCCTTTGGGGTAAAGTTTCATTTATCTTCTGCTTCTGCTGGTACTCCCTCTTCTGTTACGAGAGACTTTTGTCAATTACTTGAAATTTAATATAAAGACAATTTTAAGACCTTCTATAAACCATTGTGCTTTAGAATTGTAGAATCACTAGTGGCTGAAGCTCAGATTATTGATTTGTATATGATAGATGATTGTAGTATGCATAAGATTATATTAAGACAAATTTCAATTGCAACGTGGCCAAGAAAAAAATAGAAGTCTGACATCTGTTGCATGCTGAGAAAGAGGCATACCTTGTTATGGTATTAGTTCATTGGTTTATGTGCATTGATGTTACCAACAAAAGAATATTTGCCTGTAAAATAGCTGAAGTGCACATTTTCATAGTTTATATTGATTTCAGGGTGAAGTTGTATCTACACTGGTAGAACACACTAATTATGTATTATTCTTTGGACACTTGATGAAACTATCTACTGGGACCATTCCATCTGAATTTGTGTTGTTGAAACAGGGAATGCAACATGGAGCATTGTATGTCACTGTTCTCTCTATTACTCTAAATACTTTAGTTTTCTGCATTATATGTTTTGTTTTCTGAACTATCTGTTAATGGCTTTTTAGTTAACTCTCCATTACAGTTCTCAGGCAAGGTTTTTAATTGTATTGATGTTGGAGGAGAGGACATGGAAATTTTGCTATTTTATTTTTTGTCCTGGTGTTTCTAATGGTGGAAATTTAGCTATTTTATTATTTGTCCTGGTGGAAATTTAGCTCTGCTTTAGTACCAGCTGGTGGTTCTGATGGCACATTAAGGATATGGGATCCTCACAGAGTAGGTTTAGTGCTTGTTCAATTATCTGTTCACGAATCATACTGTGTATGTGTCCATATCTGTCTAATTTTGCTGTCTTCTGAAGGGTAATGAACATATCCTTTGTATCGTTTTTTTTTTTATTTTTTTATTTATTTATTTTATTCTTATTTGACGTATAGTTGATAACTTGCTCATTTGCCCTACATTTGTCATCGTAAATTTGTTGATGGAAGACTAATTGTGATTTATTATGCATGGTTAGGGTATTGATTGTTAAATGTTAGAATCTACTCCATAGCTTATAAGACTCTTGCACTATTATTCATATAATTTGGACTTAGAGTAGCTTTCAATGGGAAAATTGTCATATGCAAAATACATTATTGTGTAGCAGTTTGGACTCTTCTGTCCTAGGAAATTGTCATATGCAAAATACATCTTGTGGACTCTTTTGTCTTAGAAAATCAGGATAGTTGCTGGGTGCTTATGCTTGAAAAGTTATAGGTTCGTGTAAAAAAGCAGCGCTAAGCCGCTAAGATTTTTGAATGCGACAAGCTTTATCAGTGTGCTTGCACCTGGTGGTAAGTAGGTCTTACCACCAGAAAAGGCTTCAGGTCAGAGGAAAATCAGTCAAGAATGCAATGCATATATTTAACTAATATTATCTGGTGGGAACTGTGAGTATCTGAGCTCTTGCATATTCAGCTGTATTTAAGTTGTGGCCTCCTTTCAACTATCTTAATTCATAGTTTGCTGAGCTGGTGGCTCTGCTGGATTGTTTCTGTACCTGATCTCATCCCTTTCTCTTGGTCCTGCTGCAGGGAGAGTGAGGGGTGTTTACCTTGTATAACATTTTGTTCTATTATATGGCCAATCTATTGTACTCATTTCTTTTGTATTTTGTGGCTTAGATCCTTGCGCTTCTAAATTTCTTTACCCTTTGAGGATTTGTTGCTTGGTAGGGTGTGGGCATGTGGCTTTCAGGTGTTGCTTGTAAAACTTAGGTAAGGGCGAAGACATCCATTGTTCAAAGTTCATGAATTCTATTAAGTGGAATGATTATGTCTTGGGTAAGGCTGTTTCACAATTTATTGTGAGACATTAAGTCATGGGAAAAAATTTGGTAGGAAATTGTTTAGAGACGCTCACTCATTCTTATTAGCGTTTACCGGGAGGCCTGGCAATTCTTGATAGTTATGTCAACGATCAGCATTCGATGAACAGAGGATCTACTCATTCGCTACTAGAGTTAAATAGTGTTTATTTTTTATCTTTAAGATCTTGGTAACTTCCATTGTTTTAAAGGAATAGAGGAGATGCAATCAGTCACCTTGCATTTGTCCTACATTAGTGTTCGTCTAATAATAGGGGATGCCACAAAATTCTTATATATATACATTTTCCTAGAGTGATTTTATATGTATTTAAATTTTTTCTCTTATTTTGGTGAGTGTATGGACGTATGTCATGTTTTTAGCCTTTACAATGCAGTTGCATCAGATAAAGGAGAATGTAATGTTATTTACTTTCAAACACTAATTTATTGGTACATGTTGTGCATTTAAATCTTTGGTGCATTTATCAAGTACATAAAATTCTTGAACAAAATATTATCTTGAGGTATTCTCATTAGGTTTGTCTGTGCTGCAGCATGCGAGGTTGTTCCTGACCCAAAGATTTGAGACAGCAACTCGGAATGTGATTGATTGGAAGATACAGAACGGTATACTTCAGCCCTTACCCGCAAGTTCCTCACAATACCTGGTATGTCATACACTCATACTGGCAATACTGTAGTAGTTTCTTACACCCTTCACACGAGCAGCTTAATCATCATCTTTTGTGCTCTGTCAAGTTTGTGAACATGTGAATTTAGATTACACTTTAGCTTTTCTTGTTGAGCATGAAGTTTAGGGGTGGGTGATGGCACTGCACCTACAAGAGTTTGGGTCCATTCAGCCCTCATCTACTGCGGGAAGATACCCTAGTCTCCCCTCCTGCTGATCCATAAACTTCAAAAAGAAATTTGCATTTCTTTGATTTCACTCTACATATATGAGTAGTTGCTTTATTTATACATCCCTCTGTCGCCCCCCCCCCCCCCTCTTCTCGTGAGAAAGATTTTTAAACTGATTTCAGGATGTATGTTAGGTTTGGAATTTGCTATGTCATTATTATTATTCTAGAAGTGTCGTGACTGCGACCATTTTCCTTAATATGTTCTCAATGTGTAGTGTAAAAGCTTAAGAAGGCATACTAATGGGTGCTTGTAAAATAGTGATTTTTATTCTAACAGACAGTTCTTTGCATAGAGGATGACTATAACTTGCATGGTCCTTCTTTATCTTAAGATCGTTTTTCATGTTGGTAGGAACTACGTTGGGGAGGTAGTTCAGTCCGGATCTGCTGTAACAAGGTTAAAAATTGGTAACAAGGCCGTGGCTTTTCTTAGCTATGGTGTAACTTTGTAAGTTGCTTGCTTCAATCAGAATGCTTTTTTCTTAACACTCTATGAGTGAGGGGCATGGCCAATCTCAGTTACTTGCTAATTTGGTCACTGAGTCCCAGTCTCATAAGGCAATTAAGTGAGCTTTCTGTGGATAAAACCAAAGGAGAATCTGACAGTTATCTGACCATCAGAAGTTTCAGCACCCAAAGGTGCAGCCTACCTGTTGCTGCCCTTATTGCTTACCAAGCTCTCATCCAGCTTGCAAACTTCAAGCTTGATGGAAGTGGTGAACATATTGATCACAGCTGCATCAGGAGGAGTGGGCCACTATGCAGTCCAACTAACCAGTTTGTAACGTCCTACATGTGGAGCTCGTAATCTAGATTTTGAAAAAGGCTTAGGGGCCGATGAGGTTCTCGACTATAAGACTCAAGAAGGGGCCCTTAATTTCATTTTGAGAACATCCTATCTGTAGGGGCAGGGCTACATTGATTCTACTTTCAATTTTTTATTTTATTTTATCTTTTTTTTTATGGTGTTTTATTGTATATAGTGTGAATATTTTTGGTGGGTTTGTTTTAAGGAAAATTTTTATTTTCACACACAAAACACGCCTTTTTTGAAGTAACCACCTGTTAATTTTTTTTATTTATTTTACCACCCCTTAAATTAAAAAAGTATTCAGATTCCCACCTTTTTGAAAATTCTGATGAACTTTCCGTCACCTAACTTATTTCCCTCCTTTTTTTTTGGGAAATTCTCTCTGGTAACCACTAACTTTTATTTTTACTCAGTGATAAAGTCTGAATTTTTTTTATTATCAATGGTAATCACGAATTAATATTACTAAGCCAATGATAAGGGGGTCATTTGGTTTGCACAGGGTAATCGGAATGGAATGAACAAATGGAATGAAAGAGAATGGAATGAAACCCTTTCTATGTAGTATGTTGTTTGTTTTACAAAACAAAGGGAATCACCACCACCACCACACACAACCCCTCTTCCCCACTTTTCCGGCCACTCCACCGCCCAACCACCACCTCACTGAAACTCGTCGCCTGTATTCGCACCTCCCCCACCCTTCGCCGTCCGTATTCCCACATCCCCTACCCTTCGCCTCCCGTATTCGCACATCCTCAACCCCCTCGCCGCCCATATTCGTACATCCCCTACCCCTCACCGCCCCCTGAAAACCGTCGGCCGCCGTGGCTTGTGTCGGAAATTGCGAAACTGGAAATCGTGAACTTGCTGCTCCTCGTGGCTTGTGTCGGAATCTTGGTGGCGGAGAGGTTGGGTTTGCGTGGGTTGGCTTGTGTTGTGGCTTGGGTAGGAGGATGATTTTTTAGAGTTTGCGTGGGCGGGGGAAGGTTTTTCATGTAGGAGAGGGGGAGGTGCGACGAGTTTCGGCGAGGAGAGGGGGAGGTGCGGCGAGTTCCGGCGATGTGGTTAGGTCGTGGGGGTAATTGGGTGAGGTAAGTAGTGGCTGGGGAAAGGAAATGCAAAAGTCTAGGGGGGGGGGGGTGGAGAATCAATTAACGTAGAAGGATTTTGGGTAAACTCAAAAATAAAAATGGGTAAAGGGATGAAAAAAATGACAAACAAATAGCAACAAAGGGAATGAGCCATGTTCATTCCCTTTTCCTTTGATTATTAACCCCAACCAAATGGCCCCTAATGATAATAAAATATCATTAAACGTGGGGAAAGGAAATGCAAAAGTCTGTGGGGGGGGGGTGGGGAATCAATTAATGTAGAAGGATTTTGGGTAAACTCAAAAATAAAAATGTGTAAAGGGATGAAAAAAATGACCAACAAACAACAACAAAGGGAACGAGCCGTGTTCATTCCCTTTTCCTTTGATTATTAACCCCAACCAAACGGCCCCTAATGATAATAAAATATCATTAAACGTTTAACCAGGGTTAATCTTGGTTTAGAAACATTAAATTTACATTAATACCTTTCAAATTATTCAAAAAAAAAAAAAAATCCAAACCCTTCGCCACCCACCTAGCCAGCCCCGCTCCGTTGCTGACACTAAGCTTAGCCCGACTGATGGAGTCTCAAATCCCTCCCTCATCGGAGACCCTGTAACACCCCCGATTTACTAGCTAATAATAAATAATAAATAAAGGAAAATTAACAACCTTTGAATAAAACTGCAGAAGCATACACCTAAATCGGAGGTATTATCGCCACTCTCAACAACTTGTCAAGTGCTATGGCTTATAAAATCACAATAATTACAACCCAATAAACTAGGTGAGCTATTTATACAACTTTTCAAACTTGTTATAAAATACTAATTGAAACACTTGAGCTCCTTTAGCTACGATCACTTGATCAACCTGTTTAGACAAACTTGACTGCTCATCATTAAGGACAAATTCCAAAATAGATCGTCACAGGGCCACCATAAGAAAAAGACATGGTCGCAAACACAAGTAGCATAACAAAACAACACACACGTCAACAAAAAGCTGAGTAATCATCACATATTAGTATACAGAGTAAATAGAATAATCAACATTAGGTCAATTAAACAAGTGGATTGCTAAACATCGCCCGCAAATCTCCACATAAAGCCCACAAACTTATATTGAAGTTACAATATTGCCCTTGACCTTAAAAAAAAAACACAACCTCAATAAAAATCAAAGTACGGGGATGTCGAGGCTCGTGGCGGCAAGGTGGTTGGCTCGTGGCGGCAAGGTAGTGGTGGATCGTGGCGGCAAAGTGGTGGTGGCGCCAGGTCCGGCAGCCACGTCCACCGGCCTGGCGTCTGGGCAGGACGCCCAGCCACGGTGAGTGGCGTTTGGGACAGGCGCCAGTCACTGTGGCTGGGCGTCCTGCCCAGACGCCAGGCCGGTGGACGTGGCTGCCGACCCTGGCGCCACCACCAGCCACGGGCCGTCCTGGCCAGGCGCCCTAGCTGCCTTAAATTTTTTTTTTTTTTAATTTTTTTTTTCTTTTTTTTTTTGGAAAATCAGAAAATTTTTCTAATTTTTTTTTAATGTGTTTGATTTTTTTTTAATAATTATTAATTTTATGTGTTATTTTTTATAAGTCTAGTATATATATTTTTTATAAAATCAAATAAAAAACATAAATTTCCACATCCTAAATCAAAACATAAATTTAATAAACATAATTTAAAAAAATAAAAAAAAAAGGCAAAAAAAAAAAAATTAAAAAGTAAGGGCGGCGTCCAAACCAGACGCCAGTGCACTGGTGGTGGCGCCTGGCCTGGACGCCAGTGCACTGGTTGAGGCGCCTGGGCTAGACGCTAGTGCACTGGTTGTGGCGTCTGGCCTGGATGCCAGTGCACTGGTTGTGGCGCCTTGCCTGGACGTCCTTGCCATGGTTCCGGCGTCCAAACTAGGCGCCACCTCGTTTTCCGTCGAAGACGACGTATCTCCGGCGACCCTCGCCTCTCCGGCCTCCCTGGGCAACCCAGTACGACTCCACATTTGTTAGATCGAGATTTGTTCACTTTGGGTACGATTTTAGAAATGGGCAAAATTGTCAAACCATGTCTAATTTGTGGGCTTTATGTGGAGATTTGCGGGCGATGTTTAACAAATCCCTTAAACAATGTAATTCAAAACTACATTACACACTGTACTCTTAAAATAACCTTTGTCAACTCAACATCGAATGATAACTCGAACCTTTACTCAATTAACTCATCTATCCCATAAGTCTGCCACACTCTTTATTTTATACCCAGCCTTGGACATGAGTAATTCTAATAACAAACCAACAAGTATAAAAACTTGAATACTCTCAATAACCAGAAAAATACCATGAACCAGACCAACATACGGGTCAAATCCCACTGTAGGGGACCAAAGAAAATATAAATAAAGATTGTACCTCATTCTTAACTTATGATTATCATCTCCTTACCAACATGCCAAGGACTAAGGCCTATAACGCCGACCCTCAAACCAAAAACAGAATAATAATTCTCTACCTTTTTGATCTCATACTTATCAAATAATCATTTACAGACTCATAATCAATATCTCAATAATGGCAAAGGTTCCCAAATTATATAACATGACGTACTTGATTCATAAAATATCTCGACACTTATAGGGCAAACCTGCTAGTTTCCAAATATAATTAACTTACAACCCAAAAATAATATTCTGCATTAATAATTCTATAACCTCAATAAAACAATACTCCCCGTATTTACAAGGTATGTAGTTATCCATTGTGGATGCTCTTGTACTGCTCAATTTCTTGATAAAAAATAAAATGAAATTATCAATATGTAAAGACATCCACGGTCTAGTTGCAACAAAATAAACAATGACCAAAAGACATCAATCATTATAGGCTATGTATAATAGGAGTTGAACCCACACCTTACGCACGGTAGCATAGTGCTTTACCAATCAAGCTAATTAATAGCCTTTATCTATGTTAATTGATATGCAATTCTATATAGCCACATGACTCAAACTACGTACACATATTTCAAAAGATGTTAGGAAAATTTGTCAAAAATAAACTTTTACAAGAATTTTTGTTAAAAAACAACCACGGTCACTTTTTTATGTATAATCAAACCTTCACCTTTTTTTCCGGCATTGACTCTAATTTTCAGGCGTTAGACTCCTTATTTTCTCCATAAACTATTTTATACTGCACTTACAGAGTACTAAAGTACTAAACTATTTTTTGTGGATAAATATTCTTGAAGTTTAAATATAATTGTAGCTCTCGTTACAAAATTATGATCATTAGTCATTTCTATTATTGACTGTGTGCTACTGCCATTCTGTCTTGCATAGGGAGTAGACCGTGCATTTTCAGCTGGAAGAGATTTATGGATTTTCTACAAGGGAAAGAAATCAAGTAATAACTTGGATCTTATCTATTTTTAGATATGTATTCAACCCAGATATATTTGTTAATGACATCATCTGTGATTTGCTTTAGGCAGAGGACTCCTGCCTCGAAGTGGTTTACAGGATGTATTAACTATTTGGCTGTGCTATCACATCCACACCTACAAGAACACTTAGGTTGTGCATCAAAGAATATGCACGGGTGCTTCATTTAGTAGCTAAATAAGTGAGATGCATCTTGAGTTTTCTTTTTGCAAACTGTGGATAATAAGTCAATATCATTTTCAGGTTGCTCTTTTTAATGGTATTATCATTGATGGTTCCAATGAAATTCTTTGTCGTAACAGTTAGTTTCTTATACTTGAAAACAGTTCTTTCTTGTGTATATTACCACATTATTCACCTTAGATTATTATCTTTTCTTCATATAGGTTTTTGCCACTCCTGATTCCTGAATTGAAGCTGCTATTGGGTTTCAATTCGCACTGACTGTGGCTTCTCATACATACATTCTCGATTGCCTAGTCACTTGGGTAAGCGTAGTTATGTAAAAATAAACTTGTTCTAGCATTGGAAGTTTCAGTGGAGATCCGAGGCAATCAACTGTATGTGGGAAAGTAAGCAAGAAATAAAAACTGGATAGTGTGAAAGTAAGATGTAGGGTCCTAGGGACTTATAGAGCCCTTTAAATGTACATGAACTTGTAATTTTTGGTAAAAAAAACTTATTTTGATGATATCTAGTGGACACTATCATAGTTATCATGAATACAGAATAAACAGGTGTTTTTTTTTTTTACCATAATACAATCTTTTATTGTCCATAAACTATAAATAATTTTTTCTAGGTATATGTACTTCACATATTATTCGTAAGTGCTGACATCTTACTTTCTTAAACTTCAAGTGACTTATTTCTATGGCTGAAGTTGAAAAGGATTTTG